AAAAAAAAAAAAAAAAAAGAGGTTAGAGTGAAGAGAGCCAAGCATAAGAGACTCTTAAAAACTGAGAACAAACTGAGGGTTGATGGGGGGTAGGAGGGAGGGGAGGGTGGGTGGTGGGTATTGAGGAGGGCTCCTTTTGGGATGAGCACTGGGTGTTGTATGGAAACCAATTTGACAATAAGCTTCATATATTGAAAAAAAAATATCTAGTCTTATAATTTATTGTCAACTCTTATTTCTATAAATTATGGATTATAACATTTCTTCATTGCCTCCTGCCAGCCTACCACAAGGTAGAAAGATACTAAAGATAAATTAAAATCAGAAATTGCTTATTACCTTGTTAGCTTATTTAATGAAATGTTGGTTAGGGGAAAATACAGAAGAAGATATGTTTATAGGGAAGTGTGTGTATATTTTAATAAATTATGCAATTTAGTTTCCCATGTTGTTCCTATACTCCCATCTTGTCTAACAGTACTATTGTTATAAATATATAAAAGTAAGACTGGAGCACTTTCTTTTGAGATGGTCATTATCCAATACTGAAGATTAAGCCACAATATGCTATTGACTCTATCAAACATAAAAAGAATAGAAAATAGTGCTCTTTGGAAATATGATGTTATAAATCTGATTCTATCTAAAAATAGAAGGTTCTTATATTTAAATGTAACAATCCTTTGGTAAACTTTATCTTCCTGTCTTACAGGTTAACAAATAGAAATATTATACACAAACCTGCAGAGTGGACCTTAATTGCTGTGGTGTTGTTGTCATTGTAAGTACTATTTCAGATTTTAACTCTAAATAGTAAATAGAATTTTGATTGGGGAAAAACAAAGTTGTTCATTGATTTTATAAGCATCATGAGAAAAGATACCTCTATTTTGTGCCTTATTTTCCTGTCCTATATGATAAAATAACTAGTGTAAAGTGATATGCCAGTATTTTCACAAGATTTAATTATTCTCTTTATATTTTTTACCATATTTTCTTCCAAAGGCCTTTATCTTTGCAAATATGATTTGTTATATTTTGAAAGAGGACAACTCCATGTGGAATATATATGGAATAGCCCTTTAATTTCATTTTTAACAATGCATTTTTATTAGCATTGAATGGGCCTCATTTTATAACTGTAATTTTACCAACACATCTAATGTTGTTTCATTTGTCTCAGCATTAATCGCTTTGGGAAAGTTTTATTTTCCAAACTAATGTACATCTTTAAAATCAAACAGATTAAAGGAACTAAAGTAGATAGTACAGAAGCATATATAAAACATTTAATACTCATTCACCTTTTAAGAAATCACTGGTGGTTTCTAAAGCTGTCTCTCGGTAGGGTTAAAACCTTCTAGTAAGTGTAGTGTTTTTCAGCTTGAATTGCAAGTCTTCTTTTGAGGACCATTCATTACTGCATTACTGTTGCCTCTTGGAGCTTGTTAAGTCATTGAAGCCCATAGGACAGTGAATACTTTACTGGACACTCATAGGTCAAGAAGTGTTATGAGCCAACCTCATAGCATCTCCAGCCCTGCTCTCTCTTTCTTGATATTTCTTCAGTCTGACATGTTACTCTGGCTTCACTGTCCCAAGGAAGGCTGTGCTGGGAGGCATTAGAGTAGGCTTCAGTGAGCCAACATCTGTGTCACCCAACCAAATACAACTCACAGGATTCATTAAATCAGAACACAGAAAATAACTTTACTTGAATGCCTTGATAATAAATTTTTTATCAGCCGTAAGAACAAATCTTTTGTCATTTCTACTATTCAGGGTCCCAGTTGAATTGGTTATTTGTGAAACAGATCTTATTAATATTTTAGAAAGTTTTTTCCATTTTATGAAATTTGTAAATATTTTGGTCACTGGCAAAAAAAAAAAATATCAGTAACTCTGCTCACCCACCATATCCTATGCCTGCCAATAAACCCTCATAGATAACTGTTTAACTGTACTTCTGCAATTCATTATACTAAAGAGGAAGTAACTTTTTTGGTTGACAAGTCACAGGCCTGGGCCAAGCAGTAATCTCAGAATCTTGCTTTCTAAGCCAGTAACTGGAAGTATTATCTTAATGAGCAGCTGCTTACTGAAGACACACGTTATTAGGTCCTACTTTTTTTTTTTTGTATCAAACTCTTGACACATATTGTCCAAAATGTATAGCAATGAACAAAAAAAGTATATAAAATGAAATAATAAAGACTGCTGTTAAAATTTCAAATTATTCCCTACAAAAATAAACCTCTAGTGTTTGATTTCAATGTGGCACAAAATATTGAAAGCTTTGCTAGTTGTTTTATGCACTGACTTCCCTAACTTTGGATCTAGTATAGGGAACCTCTTATTTCAAGGGTCAGTGACCCATAAAAATAGTAACTTAATTGAATTCAAGAAACAGACTGCACATCGTCGTTGCATTACATGTTGCGCGTTACACAATCAGTCTTGGGATAGCAGTAAACCCTGTTTCCTTTTCTCATTCACCTTAAATTCTTACCTTTCATTATGTGTTAACCACTATCTAGATCTACCTGTCTTTCTCCTAATTCTTTGTCCTTTTGATACCTGGACCTGTAAAATCCTGCCCAGTTAGGGCTCTTTCAGCTTCTTTTAAAATCCTTGGTCACTGTAGACGCCAAGTCAGCTGCTTCTTTCTTGGGTTTTGCCCTTCAAATATTATTTTCTCATAATTCTAACTTTTGCCATTGCCCCTTCTTGCAGGCTATTTCTGATCCCTTCCATTTTGATTTTGCACCTTCTTTATCTTCACTAGCTGAGTCTCCTTATTTTTTGCTCATCAGCTCTAAGACTTTTGTCTCCTGTCCCAGTATTATTTTATTTATTTCCTCTTTTCTAAGGAAGTCCCCTTTAGCTTTTCATATTTCTTCCCCCAAGAGAATCTCTGGCTCGATTTATAGCCCCTTTCATTCTTAGCCTATTAAAATACTACTCCCATTTACTTCTATAAAGTATAATTATACTTTAGATTTGTACCTCTCTTTCTGCCCACTTAACAGTTCACAATTTTGGGAAAGGCATTTTGTCATTGGGGGAAGAAAAAGCAGGCTTGAGGACCAGCATTGGATAAAGAACCTTAAACACAGTGAAAAATTTGGAGACTTTAGTACCCAAAGAGACATGCACATAAACAGGTAAAGGAAGTAACATACTCACACATCTGTGGACCAGTAACCCCACCACTCAGCCTTTTAATTTATTGTTGCTAAAACTGATAATAGCATACATGGGATTATCTTTTTTTTTTTTTTAATTATTCTATGACTTAGAAAACCTTTGCATCTATTCTCAAATTTCCAATGAAACTTGTTTAGCCGTTGCTTGCAGATATTTCTGGAATTCATGTTAAAAGTGAACTCCTTACAAATCCTTATAGCTAGGAAAAAGATTCTGAATGGCAGTTGTAGTCACTGAAGATGAGTGTAATAAGATAGTATGTTAATTATTATAACAATAGTTCTATTCTTTGTATACTAACATTGCAAGGTTTTGTTACTAATAGCACTTGTTTAATGAATGAAAGCTGTTTCAAAATTTTTCTTGAAAACCACTTTAAAAAGTATACATTTTATTAGTATGTTGCTGTACTGGCTCCAGTGTAACTCTTGCAGAGGGGGAAAAATCACTATTTTAGGCAAAACATGATAGTCCAAAAGAAAGAAAGAAGACTGGTTCTTCAATTTTTACATCTGTATGCTTAAAAGTAAATGAGGTGTTTTTGTGTCAAATCATATTTTCCTAGTAACTTCCCTTGCACTTTCACAGGTGTATTAACATTTTAAAAATTTGAGGGGCACCTGGGTGACTCAGTTGGCTAAGCATCCAACTCTTGATTTCAGCTCAAGTCAATGTTTAGTGAGTTCGAGCCACACATCGGGCTCTTGCTGACACCTTGGTGCCTGCTTGGGATTCTCTCATAACAAATAAACTTAAAAAAAATTGGAACCACAACATGCAATTTGTCAGTGTATACTGATGGGAATTTTATACCAATATAATCTCAGGAAGAAATTGATCAAATTGAGTTGTACACTTCATCTTTGCACACTTAGTGAAATACACCTATCTATAAAAATAAATCATGACCTATTGCCATTTCATTTAGATTTTTCACAAATTCCATACGACTTGAATAGCCACTGTGACTGCAACATTTATGGATATATATATTTTGTACTCAGACCTTAAGTAGTTACCAAGAGCACACAGAAAGACTTTTTAAATCAGAGCTTAAACAGTATACACTTACTTAACAGTGAAGAAATTAATTTCCCTTTAGTCCTTTCTTATTTCTTTAATAAATGTTATAATTAACAAAGATTCTCAAGAACTCCTTACATAAAACATCTGTAATACTGAAAATTGACCCAGTTCTTTTTTTGTTGTTGTTTGTTTTTAATAACTCATTAGAAATATGGTAAAGTAACCTGGTAATTGGTGTTATGCTTAAGCACTTACAGTAATTTTTTATCTTAGCTGAACTTTATCAGACTTTACTCTTATATACTGTATATTGAAACAATACAAAGTTGAATCTGCTTTTGCCACAAAAATAATGCTCTAATATTAGACTTTTTCCACAGTCTCAGTGCATGATTTTTCATAAAGATGTGTATAAATAGATAGTCTGCTATAAATATTTTAGTGCCTATATACAGTGTAAAGCTAATGAATTTATATAATTTTGATGTGTTTGCCAAATTAGCAAGCATAAAAATTAATGACATTAAAGTGCATTTTGTGATGCCTCCTCATAATGATATCATATTTGTTTTTATATTCCTCATAATTCTCATCCTACTCTTAATACAGGAAAAAAACAGAAACTGTAGGATCGCTTTGCATCATGGTCTCAGTACTCAGGATATTCTCCTTGAGAATATTTTGACTGGTATTTTGTGAGAAGATTTTATAGCCATAGGACACCCCCATCAGCTTGATCCCTTCTCTCCTTTTTCTCTTCCTTTTGCTCTTAGTCTTCCCAAGTCATCTTTGACTTCTCATTATACTTCAGCCTGTAACACAAGAGGGGACTGTGCAAATGTTGACTTAAAGCTGACAAATAGAGAGAAAGGTCCAGACTAGCAGCCAAAGAGAAGCCAGATAGAAGTCTATGGAGAAGCAAATTAACTGGCCTGACTTACTTTATGTACAGCCCACATGTGAGAAATGAGAATCAGTTTCCTCAGTGTCCTTTTGTACTTAAAATACTACTTTTCCACCCAAGTTAACCTTTGTAAGTAGCCACTACTTTGTATTATGATAATCTGAGGTTAATTGTAGCATAGGAGTCAGGTGTCTTTTAGTGCGTAGCCAGTTAGGGGGTATATGTTATGGTCCATGGGAATGATTTGGTTATCTAATGAAGGAGATGAATACTTTTTATTACCTAGAAAGAAGAGAAGGTAGAGAGTGACTTCTGGTAATCTAACATGGATACATGCTCTTCCTAGTTTTATGCCCTTGATGTTCTCTAATGGAAAGCTTTCAAGATCATCTCCAAAAATGTCTGCTTTCATTTTATTTATCTGAACTGTCTGTTTCCAGTGAACTATGGCCCACTTCCTAGGCAGAGACCATGCAATAGTATATTCCTCCTAAAAGCTTTCAGTATTCCTATCGTTAAGGGAGTAGCATGTAAGTCCTGAGAAATGGTATTTAAACAAGCTCAACTTGACCATGATCACTAAACAAAAGCCTTCGCTGGATATGGGCAGCCACTTTAGGTAATCATCATACACATAGACACTC